TGATTAATAAGTATGAAAGATTTTTGAATTTATTTGTAGAATATTTTATTATGTGAATGTATGATTGAAAATTAGTATATAAAAACAAATACTTTTAAAATAATGGGAGACTAACACGGACTTTAGTTAAAGTTAATAATTATCTTTAATTTAGGAGTGTCCAAAAGTCTCGAATCGAATCGGATCGAATCGAGCGGTTCTTCATAAGTTAAATACCCGAACGGGTACCCGAATCAATAACCGATGAGTTTGGGTAGGGTCTCTACTTTTTGGTATTTGTATGCATTGAATTAATCTTATTGGACGGCTAGTTATTTATATGTTTTTGAATTGGGCTACGTTAATTTGTAAAAGTTACGAATGAAATGTCATTAGTTGTATTTATGTAGTGTTGCTGTAAATATTAAAAAATTTAATTATGGTACGGAATTGAACGGAATCGAACCCGAATGGTTCCATTTATTAAATACCCGAAAGTTTTGGGTTGGTTCAGTTATCTTCAGAACCGAACTGAATCGACCCACAGGCAACCCCACTTTAATTACTCTTTTTATAAGACTCACAACTTTTTAACCAAATAATTTATCATGCCTCGCCCATAATAAATAAGGGTCGTCCACTCGTCCTAGATGTTGCACTTTTAACGTCAATCACGTCACATCGCCCAATATTAAGGAACATTAGAGGATACCATTTTGTTGGATGACAATTGTTAGACTACAACCTTAGCGAATAAGGTTTCGGTGACAATTGTAATCGATGGTTGAGATTGTTATTGTTGGAAGTAGACAAGTAATAATATCAGAAAATGCATAAATTAGAATTGATTTTGATCAGAATGAAATCGAGGGTATGGGGGCCTATTTATAAAAGTTGAAAGGTTGTGTCCAAAAGAGACAACACTCGAAAAGTTGTGTCTTCAACAGACACAAGCCGTTTGGACCAGTTCAATTGTCAACCATCCTTCTATAAGAGTCCACGTGTCACACAGAAAATTCGGGGAAAAATAATATATTATTATTATTATTATTATAATAAAATAATATAAATNATATTATTATTATAATAAAATAATATAAATCAAATATTATTTTACTAAAAAATATATATAAGCTTGGCCCAAATCCAAATCCAAGCCCTAACCCACGACCCGTGCTCGTGCCGAGCCGAGCTGGTCGGTGGCGGCGCGCGCGTGTGGGCTATGACCCAGCCTACTAGCAGGTAGTTTCTCTCCCCTTCAAAGACTATTGATACCCCTCGTGGTCCAAACCCAAGTCCCAAATTTGAGCAATATAAAGTGGTTTATATTCTTCTAACTTTAATTGACACTTTTCCAATTTCACACCAATTTTTATTCCAATTTATTTCAACTTCAAGTTGTCATCTTTCGGCCTTAATTTCCCATTCACTCTAAATTGGTTTTAAGAAAATAAATACATAACATTAATCTACTCAAAGAGTAGAACACACTCGGTCAAAAAAATATTTTATCCGACTAATGGGACCCACTAAAATAATTGGTCAAAAGCTGGTTAAACCAACTATTCAAATCCAATTTTCCAACACAGACAATTACAATGTACCCCCATTAACTTCGAAAACTATATGAAAAATCAGGAAATGCGCTAGAGCCCTCATCCAACAATGCAAGAAGGATATGACATACACCACCGCTGTTATAAATAGAGGCACCATATATTTATTTTTGACGAAAGAGAATACACGTTAAATCTTGAACATGTACAACTATTTGGAGACATTTTCATTACTCAGAAAACACATTCTTTTCATACATAAATGATTTTGAATACATATTTCTAAACAACAAATGGAAAATGTAAGAATTGTTTGTTTATTGGTTGAGTAGCTGTTTGTTATATCAGAAGTTGGTTCGAGTTGTTGGCAATTAGAGGTTGTAACTACCTCTATTTCAACTAATCCAGAGGATAATTAAATAGTTAATTTCTTTCAACCTTTGACTTTTTCTAATTAAATTAGCACATAAAAAGTAAACCTTTGAGTTTTAATGTTTTTTTTTCAACAAGTGACAATGTACCTTATTTGTACATGCATATAGTCCTGAAATCTTAATCATACCTTTTGAACATACAATTGTAATTAACTACATTTCATTGTCTAAGTCATATATAGTTTTGTATCGAGAATTTAGGTTAACAAAAGTTTGGTTTAGTCAAAGTGTTAGTACTCTTCGAGAGTGATGGCCACGAGGTGTGATAGTATTAATACCTCAAGAAATCTTGAGTAGTCATTGTCTATGGACCATGTTACTCGTGACATTTACATGCGAGCCCATAGAACAAGGGAACAAGTTCAACATCTTATTAGTACTCTTGCAATAAAGATCCCCTACACTTTCCTATGTGCGCACTTACATGCGTATTGCACGTAATTGATTATTAAGACTTGAAATTTTATTTGAAAACATCAACTTCATAAAGAATAGTGGTCTAATCCCTTATCCGTTGATATATATTTTTGTATTTAACCAATGTGAGATTTATCCCTTTGATATGTCCCTGCAAGATAGTTTTCACGTGCTCGTTTGAGTTTTGATCTGATCGAATTACTTGTAAAAGTTTAATGAGCTCTGATATCATATTAAGATTTAATTTTTCATTTTAAAAGGTCAACTCTGTTAAGAGTATCACAAACCCTCATATGTTGGTTTATATTTCAATATCTAATCGATTTGATATTTATTACTCGGACTGATGAATAAGTAAAACTTTTGTTAGTAGGGTGAGATCCCAACTAAGCACGAGTCTTGCTCATTGCATTGGTGATATTGCGCTACAATGATTTGCCCGACACCATTCTTGTGACTTGCATGATCGACAGTTAATCTTGAGGCCCATTTAATGATACACACAACACAAATTAATCTATGCAAATCTTGCACTATTGTGGTTGTGACAGCTTCGAAACTCCAAACGATGGGATTAAATTAGAGGTAGTGAATATGTCCTAATTTGTGACTGCATAACCTAAATTAAAACCTCGTCTAATAATTGGAACATACGAGCTTTGAAACTCTAAACAATTGGACCAAAGTCGGTTGTCTTTTCACCAATTTAAGGTCCTTTCGACAAGACTTCTGAAAAATAAAAAATTGATTCTAAGATTAAGAAATTGTTTTTGAATATGTTTGAATAATTTTTTAAAAATATTTTTGTACGACTGGATGGACTTTTAAAAGAAGTTAACCTCAAATTTAACTTTCATTCATTTACCCACTTCAATAACTAGAGCTTGTGATGAATAGATCTGCTTTTAATTTAGTCCCCGTTTGGCTCCTATTAAATTATAATTTATGTTTTTCTCTTTTTATGAAACACATTTTTTAATAAAATAATATTATACGTAAATTAACAAATTTTCTCTCTTTTTTAATTACACATTTTTTAAAAAATACTATTTCTCTTACTATAATGTGTAATAATGGGAGTCAAACGGACGCTTAATTAATTTTAACATTTAAAATAATTGAAAACAGAAAAAAATTAAAATAATAAAAAATAAAAGTTAAGGATGCAAGGGAAGTGGGCCCGGAATCCCACTTCCACGAGGAATCATTAAATCCAACTCTGGACAATTTTGAAATCCGAAAAACGACAAGAGAGAAGAAAAAGGCGTCATAATTTTAATCGCACCAGTAGCGCACTGAGCCAACAGACCGACTATTTATAATTAATTGTCCACTCGCTATCAAAAGTCTTCCCACCAAAAGCCATCGCCTCTCCTTTTCTCTCGATCACCAGAATCTTAAGAACAAAATCAAATTGTAGTATTAATCTTGACGCAACAAAAATGAAGGCCAACGAGTTTGATCTTTACCACGATTCAATTATTTGAAGCTGTGAGTAAATGCTGTCATTATTTCTTTTTCAGCGGTTAAATTATTATATTTTTCCTTGAGAAAATGTATTAGAAAGTCATTTGTTCTTCTAATTCTTATTGATTCGAGGAATTTTAATTCTGAATAGCTCGTCATAATTATTAAAGGTAATTTTTTAACCTAATAGTTGAAGCATTTTTAGTACTAATTTTTTGGTAGATATTGCATTATTATTGTAAATTTCTGCCTTTTGTTATATAGGGTATAAACCTAGCAAAGTAGCTGGTTTAATTTCTCTTTAGAATCGGATTCTCTATTGTTATCACCAAACATAGCCAATTGCTCTAAAACTTCATTTCCTGGTTTGAATGCCAAGAAATATAAAGAAGCAAATTAAAACTCACAAATTACTAGTTTTGATATACTTTTGGGAGGAATTTCTGTGGAAATTTTTATACCTTAAATTGATGTTCTATTGACATAAGCTTTTATTATTTGTATTCAATTGTTTTTCTTTGCTTGGAAATTAACATAATTTATGGTTATAAATATCATTGAGAATATAGAGAGAGAAATCAGTTGGTTGACTACAATCCTTTGGTGTTCAGGGGGAGTTCTAGTTTCCTATGTTAGTCACTGTCTTTCTTTCTTTTTGTTGCCTTAATCATACAGATGAAATTATATTTCTTTGTTTTTACTTCTTATGTAGGTGCATACTGTCTTTTCCTACTTTGGTACTTCTAATCTATTCTACGAAAGCAACTGTTGGTGCTTTGACCTTGACTCAGTTTGTAGCTTCGATCCTGATCTGATCAACTGCGCAATACTTTCACTTGCAATTTCCTCCTCTATTGGTTATAAGATAATGGCTAAGCAGTTTTCAGCGTGCTCTTTCATTAATTTCTTTCACCTTTAATAATCTTTTATAGCCAGTGATATCAAATTACCAGTGATAGTTGAGGAAAGATATACAATGTTGGATTTATTGTTATTAAACCCGAAGGAACCACCAATAAAGCGAAGAGCTGGTCTATGGATCGTACAAGCAGGACGAGGATCATATCGGGGCAGTTAGTGAATGTTTTTGTGACAACTGGTTGCTTATTTTATCTACTGGATATTTGTTTTTATAATAGTTTAATTTATGGGGATTATTTCCCTGAGGTCTTTCCTCCAAAGTCTCTGCTGCAATTCTCCATGGAATTATGCTGTGTTCTGGAAGTGCAAGCATCAAGGCGATATGTAAGTCAACTCCTATCCCATTCTATTGCCGCAGTTTATAAATTCCACTCAATTGTACATTCACCTGTATATTACATGGAAAAAGTAAAGTACGCAGACACTTTTTTATTTTCTTATATTCTGGGATTATGTTAAGATATGCATTGTTTGTGCAGATTCTATTAGGTGCTACATCATAAATGTGGATCATAACTTATCACTTTATTGCAATTTCCAGTTGACAAACTTCAATTTCGTCTTTTTTTTTTTAATCTTCTCACTCCAACCAAGTGCTCTTATCATAAGTTTCTAATGTTCCAAACTAACAAATGAACTTCACTCTATGATAGATCTTTTGCTTGAATGTGTTCATCATGCATGCCCACAGGGAATGAAGTATGATAGAAACGATCTAACAAGATTTGCCAACTTATAAGATCATTATCATACCATGTTAGTTCTTTCACGTGTCCTTTTTGCATGTTTTCCTACATTTTCAAATTTTCCCATGTTGGTACATGCAGGCTGCATCATATCTGTGTCTTGAGTCCATGCTCTCACTTCTTTGATTCCTACCAAGGAGAAAATTTTAGAGGATTATTCTGCAAAATGCTGCATATAGAACATTTTCGAGTTATTCTTGAGACAAAATAATGAACTAAGGTTAATTTAAACAAGGCGGGGCTTGCTACTTGATTTCTTTTTCTTTTTTCTAGTGGTCCTCGTTAGTATTGGCATGCCATCCTACTACAAGATGTAATTTTCACTTTAAACAATACCTTTTACACTTACCTGTGTTATGGATTATAAACACTAATTCTTGTCATACCGATTAAACCATCAGTTTTAACTAATGTTTCAGGATATTGGTATGGGAAGATGGCTACTGTGACAGTTGGAAGCTGAGAAATCCAATGGAGGGCACTTTAGATGGTTTCGACTTAGAAAACTCAAACAAGATATCATCCTCAGCTCATAAATCTAGTGTACCTGATGAAAACCCAAGTGAATATCCAATTTCTCTTGCAGTTTCTAACACGTCAAATGCATATCATTTATTTGGAAAGGGGTAAGCTTTATATGCCCTAAACTAGGAGGTTCTTTTTCTTCTATTCTATTTTACAATTTTATTCATATTTACTATTACTTTAGTTTGTATGTGTTCTGCCTGGGGTCATTTGATACTTTTGTGGTTCCACCTAAAACCCTTCCCCAGCCACCGTGATGGGATGTAGAGTTTTTAATTATTACATCACAAGTCAGTGAATCAATGAACTTTGTGAATCATGGAATGATTATAACAACTTAGTCCAAAACCTTTGATGAGGAACTCCTTTGTACCTGATTGCTTGCATAGGTATTCAGTAAAACCTGCTATAATAGAGAACCAGGAAAATAGAAAGTTAAAGTTGTGTTTGTAAGTTTATTTCAGCTGTACCTCTTGACATATAATGATATAAATCATATATTGTATCAACTAATTGAGTTTTAAAATGAAGCAGAACTGTCGGCGAGGCGGCATGTACTGGGAATTCTCGCTGGATTTATTCCGATAGCATGGCGACTAATGTATTTTGTTCTGGTTTAGTTGCTAAGGTGAGTCTCTGGATCAAAATCTGTGATTCAGCTTTACTTTTATGTTGTGCGAATATGAGAAAGAAACCTTACTAAGTTAATTCTGTTGATAGCGTCCGCATGAATTGCTGCCTCAGATTTTGGCTGGCGTAAAGGTAAGACAACCAAATACTCAGCTTAAATTATGGTGTCATTTCATATATTGTTATCTGTGTGCATGTGAAAGTTCATTTTATTATATGAACCTTTGTATGATGTTCATGCAGACAATATTGCTTTTGCCAGTGCTTCCCCACGGAGTTCTACAGCTTGGATCAATGGAAATGGTTTGTATTTCTATTCTGATAATATCACCACTGGCACTTCTTTTTCATTTACGTATGTGCCTAATGGGGAAACCTTTCCGTCTGAAACTTTTGCCTTCTCTCTTTTCTTTTGGTTCTCGTGTTGCTTTAGGATTTTCATATTTTCCTTTATCATATGTGCAATTTTTATTTTCTCATTGATAAATTAGGTAGCAGAAGATGCAGCAATAGGTGCTTATATCAAATCTGAGTTTGAGACCCATAAAAAAATTGAGGCATGTGATGGAGAATCGCCAACGCTTTTGTCTACTCTAATGGAGAATTTAGAGGAGAAAATGATCACTGACGTATATAAAATAAATGAAAATGAGAAGGCCATTATGGATGCTAGTTCAATAGATCACAACTTATCTACTGCAAATCAGACGATGCCAGTGCCAGAGCCATATTTAAGTGGCATTTCTGTAAAGGATGTTCCATATACTCTTGAAAATGTGATAGAGAGCAAACTCAGCAGTCAATCATTAGGCATGATTCATGCAGCTGAACCAGGACTCAGTCATCAATCACATGAAGATAACAAATCAGTTATAACAGAGAGTAACATCTTCAATTCCCTTTGTCTGGATGAAAACAACAGATCCTTCCCTTACAGTGACGACTTTGATGTGACGATGTGCGGAGAATATATCAATGAAATGACAGATTTTTACACTGAGCAAGGTGTAACTGTACCTACTATTTCTGCCTACGATTGTGATAACAGCATTTGTGAAAGTGGAGGTAACATTTTGAGCTTCCCCAGGGACTGTGAACTGCACAAAGCACTTGGACCAGCAGTTTCAGGGAACCCCAGTCAATATCCATATGAATTGTCTATCTTGGGTGACAATGTAGCTAGTAACTCGATCCCTGATGACTGTCATCTCACCCGCAGAACGAGATTTTCAGGGATGGGAAATGGATTTCCTGTAAAAGAAAATGATATTGGAAAACTTTTAGAAAATGTTGTTGCCAATGCATGTAGTAACACTGATGATAATTCTTCTGATGATAGTTCATCTAACAAATTCAACTGTGCAAGCGCAACGAAGATTTCATCTGGATCTTTGGCTACCTGCAAAATACCTAGTCAATCCAAACAAGTAGCCTTGGTGGAAGAAGATCAAGTTTCTTGGAGCTTTGCAACATCTGTCTTTACGTCCAAGAGAAAGAATACTGTAGATTGTTTGTTGCCTTCAGCATCTTCAATTGAAAGCACCATGAGTGTATTGACGCACAAGCAGCAGCAGCGGAGGAAAGGACTGGGTTCCATGAACCCAGGTAAAGGAGTAAGCTTGTCAAGCACCAAAAAGAGAAAGGTACATGCTGGGGATAATCGGAGGCCTAGACCACGCGATAGACAGTTGATTCAAGATCGGATCAAGGAGCTGCGGGAGCTTGTCCCAAATGGTGCAAAAGTGCGTACTACAGTATATGTGCTTGGTGCCTCAAAATGCACCTTACTTTCATCTCTACAATTAATTTCATTTTTTGGCTTTATTTTCTATTATGAATGCAGTGTAGCATTGATGGACTTCTAGATAGGACCGTAAATCACATGCTCTTCTTAAGAAGTGTAACTGACCGGGCTGATAAATTGAGGCAGCAAGCTCTGAAAGAGGTAACAATGTCAACCACCTCCGTGTGAAATACCTAAACTTTCAGAAATTATCCTGTTTTATATTTCATTTCTTTATATATGAGATCATGTTTTTTATATCTTTTCTTTTTACTGTTAACTTTCAGAAATTATCCTGTCTAGATGTCAGGGAGGGAGGGAGGGAGGGAGGGAGAGGTGGGGGTTGTGCTATTATCTGTAACTGCACTAAGAAAACTCTTAAGTCTTAAGGGAGGATTCAGTTGTGGCATCAGAAGAGTTGAGGTGTGTTTGGGCTTTATAATTGCCAAAGCATTTTATTTGTTGTCTTGGTATACGCATTCATATAAGTTCATCAATCATTTATCTTCGCATTTATCTTTGTTACTTCTCTATAAATAGATAAAAAAGATAGCTTGACCTCAGATTAAATTCAGGAACTAGTTCTCTGGCTTTATCATGAAACGTGCCAAACCCACCGTCTCGGTGATACTGTGTATCAGATTCTAGGAAAGATTTATTTTAATCCTAAAATTGTTACCATCCAAAGTGCAAAAAGAAAGGAAAAATAATTAAAGATATCTTTCTGAAGTCACATTGTTATATTTCTATTCCTTGGCAAGGGTTTGGAAAGAAGGGAAAAAATGCCACCAGACTCTCTTTGAGCATAGATTGCATTTTCTCTCGCTTGACTCCATCATTTTTCTTTATTTTAATTAAATTAAACAGGAATATGCTAAAATGCAGTTATTCATAGCTAACTAATGAACTCCTTGACAGGAAACTGGTGAAAATATTCCCAAAAAACCTGAAATTAACAGTGACCATCAAAATGGGACAAGCTGGGCTGTGGAATTAGGAAGTGAGCAACTGTGCCCCATAGTTGTAAAAGATCTTGAGCACCCTGGACACATGCTTATAGAGGTATCTCTCATCATCTCACTATCGAGCCCATGGCTTTGGTCGTGCTAGTGTTTAGCAATTTTTCTCAACAATAATTTGAAAGACTCTTCTGAGGATCGTTCTCATCTGCTTTGCTGTGGATCCAGTATGCTTATTTTTACTTATTTATATTTGACCAGATGATGTGTAATGACCATAGTCGCTTTCTCGAAATTAATGATGTGATTTATCATTTGCGACTAACTGTGCTTAAGGGTGTCATGGAAAGACGCTGTGACAATACATGGGCCTGCTTTGTTGTCGAGGTATTTCATTACCCCCATACTTGCATCATAGAATTAATTTGTATACACATGATAACTGTGCCTGCATGCAATCACTAACTTAAACGATATTCATACTTTTTTGTTGCCCGTATACTGCATGTATTATACTTTAGCGAATAATAATTCGTAATGACTCAAAATTGAAGAGTACTTACAGCAGTTTGGCTGCAGTATTTATCTATAAGGATAGACCAACTGTGCACTTAGTGAATTTGACATTATTTTGAACCAAAATCCATATCGTGTCATAAAATACCTAAATTAACTCAATTTTATATCTATAATTCTTCTAATTTTTTTTTCTCTTTTTTCTAATCTTCCGTATTACTCATCTGGATTCACACAACAAAAATCTCAGTCTAGAGGAAACATTAACATGAGCAACAAGGACAATGACTTCGTCATATTTGACAGCTGGAAAACATTTGAATTTCAGAAAACGAATAGGCAAGTTCCTGATTATAGGAAAAGTCACATTTCTTAGATAAAGAAATAGTTATTGAATGGAGAGAATAAAAACATTATAACATTTTCTCTCCACCATGGCCTCTCTGAACAGGGGATCTTTTTAATGTCTTTCCAGGTAAAATTGTCTAAGGCTATATTTGGAAGATGATTTTGTTTCATTTGTTTGATCTTACAGACAAAGGAAAAATTGTTGGGAAAGAGGAAAAATTGTTGAGAAAGTAGAAAAATGTTGTTTAGACAACTAGAGATTATAAATGCTAACTTCGAGAATGTATGGTAAAATAATCATAAAAGATATCAAGCAGCTTATGGCAAGTAACCGGCATAAATAAAATTTTTCATAACTATGTACACTGTCTACAGAAAATGCACTAAATTTTTTCTTTTCCTCTAGATCTTAACTGTGGAATATTGAAAAGAAGTTCATAGTGGCCACACTGTGTTTAGTTGTGTATCTTGTATTTTATTGATAATAGCTGCTGACTCTGGATGCGAGAACAATTTTTGATTAGATATTATCTTTTTATTATTGATATCTACTTCTAGTAATATGAAAATTGCAGTGTTACTTTGTATATGGTGATGATAGAAGGGTTTTACGAGCTTCTATAGATGTTAAAAGTGTTACTGAAACTATATAACAAAAGCGAACAACTACAATTCATTTGGTACATCTATTGAAAACAGCAATATATAGCATTTGACTTCTATCTTGATAATCTAATAGCCATTGTAAATAATAAATCTGAGAATGATATAACATGGTTTACGGACTATGCAAATTCTTACCTTCGAAGTTACCATTTATGATGAATTGATACCTCTATGGTTCTTCATTTTTCATTACCTTCACCTCACATTATTTTATCCGGTTTAGTATTTATCCTTATTTAATATATCTTGCCATGCAGGCCTCGAGAAACTTTCATCGTCTGGATATCTTCTGGCCTTTAATGCAGCTTCTGCAACAAAATTAGACATCGATCTCGTGCAAAATCTAAGCTGTATGAATATGCATAGATTGTAGTGTCATGTTATGTATACAAAACAATATCGAATTCTACCACCTGTCAATATTTTTATTGGAAAAATTAGCATTTGCTAACAATGAAAATTGCTGATGCGCTTTATATGCTATATATAGTAATCTCGGACCCAATGTAAAATTTTTAGCCATTTTATTTTTGACGGGAAAATTAGAAACATTGTCATATGCTAAAAGTTGGTTAAATTATACAACTTTGTCATGGAAAAGCATTCACTGTGACTCCACCATCTACATAGATAACTTGTCCAGTAATATAAGAAGCAGCAGGGAAACATAGGAATGCCACCAAGGAAGAAACTTCACTAGGCTGTCCAGGGCGGCGCAGAGGAGTTCGATTGATTATGCCTTCCATAAGTTGCTTCTGATCAGGTCTTGGCTGCAATAAACCGAACTATTGAGATAATAAAACAGAAAAGGCAAAATGTGATGCTAATGTACACGATATATATGCATTTACAGCTGAGGTTTCGATCAAGGATGTTTCTATTATCCATGGCGCGACTGCATTAACACGGATGTTATCCTTTGCCCATTCACATGCCAAGTTCTTTGTTACCTGATTCATTGCGCCTACACAAAAGATGAACAGTAAAATCGCTTTGCAGTGGTGAAATTTTGATTCATACTACAATTGTTTGCTGCTACCTTTAGATGCTGCATACAAAGAGGCAGAAGGAACTGCCATAAGTCCTCCCACAGAAGAAATAAACACAATGCTTCCACAACCTGATGCCTTGAGAAATGGGTATGCAAGTTGACACAAATGATAAGAAGCCTCAAAATTTGTACCCATTATCAGTGAGTAATCTTCAGCTGTGAATTCTGTGGCTTCCTTAAGTCGAGTTGTGCCTGCATTGTTCACCTTAGAAATCGAAGTCCTTGTTTCAGAAACCTTGCACTGAAGAACACAATCATACGATAAAAAGAGGATAAACTAACCAAGATATTGATCTTCCTATCGAAATACGTGGTAACAGTCTCTATCAGCTTATCCCGTTGGGCTCGTACTGATAAGTCACACACAGACCCTGCTACTCGAAAGCCCTTGCACTTCCATTCTTCTAAACATTCATCTAACTCTTTTTGATTACGAGAACATGTATACACAACAGCTCCAAAACGTGCAAATTCTTCTACGATGGCATGACTATAAAATATCGAGACAGATGAGCACATTTTAAGCTTAGCGTTACTAGTGTTAGTACATGAGGAGTATAGTAAAACGAGACTGAATTTAAGTCACATACCCTATGCCTCGAGTACCGCCCGTGACAAGGGCAGACATGCCCTTGAGAGACCACCTTGCATCACCACCACCTATTTGTTCCATTTTGAATCTGTTTCTCATCGACCAGTATATTTATGTAAGAAAACAATACAAAAGCTTTTGGACCAAGGACTTTTAGTTGGTAATTTTCATTTGTACAATTTTGAAGATAATCCTAAGAAAGACAAAGGGATCTTCCTGAGTTGTCAAATTTTCAAATTTAAAAATTATATCAAAAAATTAAAATATTTCAAAGGCTTGGACGCATTAAAATTATTGCTGAACAGATATTTCAAGCGACACATGTCTAAATCCATATAAAAAACATGTGTTTTATGTTATACTTGAAAGAAAGATGGACCTGGAGGTGTAAGTAAACAAAAAGTATTTCGATAATTCCCAATATCTTAAAATTTTCCCTGAATGCTTTCGATTTGTAATGATAGGCACAAAAAGGACATTGACCGAAAGCATAAGTTGGAGCTTGAAGTTGAGAGGATGAGGCGTATTGTACAGGTAACAGAGCACGTGGAAAATTTGCAGTAAATTGAAAACAAAGAGAACCAATAGAGGTATGTTTGAAGGATTAAATGATCGTTACATGGTTTTGTGTACAAAACATTTTCATCATTTTCCTACCCTTATCTAACCAAAAAAGGATTGAA